GTGGGCTTTGAGTTTTTTCATGCATCGGTTATTATGTGATGGGTTGTTAGTGTTCTATTGGTATGTGATTGCAATTGTCTTGCTCTCTGTTTTGACTATATAAACCTTTGTTTGGGAAATCTTTGTTTTCATCATTTTAATTCTACCTATTTTATCTTTTTCACTATTTTACAGTTTTCAATTGTGTGAGACTTCATTTTGCTATAAGTTATTGCCGAAGGTATGTTTCTCTTCATCTTCTCTTGTTCAATGCCTTAATAATCATTATTGTTTTCAATTACATTTGATTCTGTTTTAAAATGATTCCTTTTGCATTTGTGTTAATTCTTATTTGTTCTTCATAACTCATACCACAGCCCATCAGTATTTGTTTTCAATTGATCAATTCCTCATTTCGCTTTCAATCTCTCAATTTTTGACAAATGTGTTTTTTCTTTATATTCTCTGCTTGAATTGAAGTCATTTTCTTGATTATGTGCTATATGCATAAATATATTTTATAGTTTTTAATAACATTCGATGTTGAATTAAATGGTTCTACTTGCATCATTGTTAATTCAGATCTATTCTTCATAATTTATTCGATTCTCCTAGTCCTAGCCCTAGCCGACACAAGAACTCATTTCTTAATTATTATTTTTTGACATATCTGTATTTACTTATTTGTAGATAGAAGATTGATACCCAAAGATATTTGTGGATTCAAACTTATCATTGTTGAAATGGATAAAATAGCTGATTCTAGTGGTGATTACAAGGAGGATAATAAGGGGAAATCAATTCATCATTCTACAGTTCCTGATGATTTTTCCCTATCTCTGATTGATTTCCCTCCGTACGAACTACCACCGCCTGAGGCTTCACAAAGTTCAAATGAATTTGATTCATTAATGGTAGGATCAAATCAACATAGAGAAGAATCGGAAGTGCATATGCACGAGCTTGTGGATTGGAATGATCCATTTGCAATCAAGGTTGAGATGTTACTGTTGTCTAATTTGCAAGCAGTTTTCCTGGATGCAATAAAGCAGATTGTTGAGCTGGGCTATAGTGAAGATGTAGCTGAGAAGGCCCTTTCAAGGAAGGCCATATACATACAGGATGGAGACCCTGTCTCAAATATTGTTAATGATACATTGAAAGTTTTGAAGGGAGAACATGTTGTCACCCCAGATGTTTTGAAGGGAAAAGATATTGCTACCTCAGACATTGTCTTTGAAAGTTTTCAGCACTTGTTGTGTTACACCATGTTGGAGATGGTCATTCTGCTTTGTGAAGTCAGACCATCCTTAACAATCGGTGAAGCAATGTGGGTATTGCTGATGTGTGACTTGAATGTTTCACTCGCATGTACAGTGGAAGATTCTCTGAATGCTGTTTTCAATGGGGAAAGTTGTATCGGTCCTTCCTCTACCCAATCAAAGTCAGAGGCTCAAAGGTCTGATGTAATTTCAAATTGTAGACCACCAACTTCCCAGGACTCATCCCCCACTCACAAGAAGTGTAAGTCTGAAGAACCTCCGTTTGGGAAGCTCCAAAATTCAGCCAACAATAAAAGTTCTTTTGCTTCAGAAGGGGTAAAGCCTCAGGAAGAGAATGCTTCATTGCCAACTGTTGCAGGTAAACCCTCAGGAACATCAGGGGATGAATGCAAAGCAGGACATTGTTCTAAGCGGCACAATAGAAAAGAAATTGCAGCACTTAGGCAGAAGTTTATCCATATGGAGAAAACGTACAGGGCCCGTGGAAAAGGGGGTTTGAAGACAGAGAAGTTTACAAGTGTTGGTGGTTTGATGATTGAAAAAAGAATCAAACCACCATCTGATATTCATAATCAGCAAGTGAAAAGTGGTCTTTCAAACACGACAAGCAAACAAGGAGTTTATGCATCAGATGCAATGTGCCATGTTTCAACCAATAGTGTATCTACTTTACCTGCAGGAGGTAGCTCCACAGAATTACCAGACATAATATCTTCCCCTGTAGTGAATGCCAATATTTCAGCATCAGAAACAATGTCCAAACCAAAATCTGAGCCAAGCTCCTTTGATGCTCAGAAGATTCTTGATGATTGTGCTGGTATTCCTTATGATGAGTCTTTGGGTAAATATGTCCCACGAGACCAGAAGGATGAACTAATTCTGAAGTTAGTTCCTCGAGTACATTTATTGCAGGGTGAGCTGCAAGGCTGGAGCAGCTGGACAAATCAAAAGGTTATGCAGGTTACTACTAGGCTTGGCAGGCTGCAGCCTGAGATTAAAATGCTGAAAAAGGAGAAGCAAGAAGCTGAAAAGGGTACAAATTTTTTTCAGGAGAATATTGTGAAGAGGATCTCTGAGATGGAGAATGCCATAGAAAATAATAAAAAGCAAATTGAGAATACTACTTCTGTTGCTCTCATGTGCGATGCAGAAAACACATTGCTAAAAAAGGAGTTGGCTGCTGCTAAGTTGTCAGTTGAAATGTCATTGACAAGCCATCAAAAAGCACTAGAGAGAGAGCACATTGCTCTTAAAAAATTAGAGTCATTGGATAGCGAGAATGCTTTGCATCGAGATGAGATCGAGAGAGAGAAGCACAAGTTATCTAACATGCGACAACAACTTGACAAGGAGAAAATTCTTCTAGTCAGGTTTGAGGTATGTATCATTGAATTAGAGAATATTTAATTATAATAATATCAATACACATGTTTGAAGAGGGTGAGCCTTGGCGCAATGACAAGGTTGCTTGCCTTGTAACTTGAAGCTCATGGGTTTATTTCTTGGAAATAACCTATTCGCTTGTGAAGGCAAAGTTGTGTACATCTACGATCCCTGGATCCCACTAGGTGGGAGCCTCGTGCAATGGACCGCCCTTTTTATCAAAATAGATCGTGTAAAATTTGTGGAGTCTACTTTTATATATTGTATGTCAATGCATAACTTCACTGGTATATGTATAATTCACCATTTGAAATGCATGATAGGTTTATTTAGTCTAATCTATAATATGTTTGAACTGAAGTACATGAACATTGTTCATAGGTCATTAATTTATCACACACATCCTCATATCATGCTATTTTCACTTTTGTATTTATATATCACCAGTACCTTATTTGAACAATAGGATTTATGTTTTATATGTGGTCTCATTGTTTACATTTAGTAGTACTCAAAGGGATTATTTAGTTACTTCCAAACTATAATTTGTGGAAATGTTACAGGGTCGGGTGGAAAAAGAGAGAGCAGGGACAGAAAAGGTCCTTAAACATGCTGCATCTATCATAGAGGAAAGGAAACAGCTAGCAGAACACACAAAAGCTGAGGAAGATAAGATAAGAAAAAAGGCAGCCGATAACTTGCAGAAATATATAGAGGTGATTGCGAATCTTGAAACACACTTGGAAGAAATAAAACAAAAATTAGAGTCTGAAAAAATTGCAGCACTTCATAAACGTGAGCCGATGGGGAGCAAGAAATGGGGTTCGTTGCAGACCATGGTGAGCTGCCAAGCCAAATATGCAGCTGGAAATTTGAGGCGGGAGCATGAGTGTGTCATGTGCCTATCTGAGGAGATGTCAGTAGTTTTTCTTCCATGCGCACATCAGGTTGTGTGTGCAGAATGCAACAAGCTCCATGAGAAACGAGGAATGAAGGATTGCCCTTCGTGTAGGGCTCCGATCCAACACAGGATTCATGCTAGATTTGCTGGTCAATAGAGAGTATTGACTGTCCTGCATAGATGTGTATCTTGGAGAGGTTTTACAGTAAAGTAGGGATTCCTAAGAATGTTCTTTTGAAGATCATGTGGACCATTATGGTATTGTGTCCCACCTTCCTTTTTTTACTTATATGTTTTGGTTTTGAGTCTGAAACAAATCCTAGATGATGTCCCCCACCCAAAAAAACTGCATAGATATAGAAAGAAGTCCTAAGAGACAGTAAATGTAGGATTCCTTTTTGCTTAAAAGATATAAAGCATCAAAGCGAATATTTTATATAATGTGGTTACCTAAATGAGTATGGGCTACTTAAACTTTTCAATTATGCTTCATTGTAAAAAATGCAATAACCTTCATGAACCTTGTATGAGGCTCAAACACATTACCTTCATGGAGAATAACCATGGTTCAAACAAAAGAGCATTCAATTATATAATTTGTGCATACATCAAGTTTTAGCAGTTTCCTTATTGAACAAAAGGCATTTAATCCATTGTAACTAAGAACAAAAGGCACGAATGAAGATATTTCTAATTGGGCATTTACTCTTTTCTTTTTTTAGTCCATCTTCAATATCCATTTATGCCTCTTTTCTTTGTCCATGCATATGATTTGGGCATTTAATCCATTTATGCTTAACAATAGTAAAATGACATTATTGTTATTGTGGTTGGTTTGATTCCAATCAAAGTCAAATCCAATAAACAAAACAATCATGATTGTTTCTTAAAAAATATATACCAAAAATAACACAAAATATGATTTGGGTTGTTTGGTTATAGCATAACCATATAAAGCCCTACCTACGATATGATATTTACACTATAAATTCATGTTTCACATGATATTCCTTAAGGAAAAGTGTAGGCATTAAATCGACAATAATATTGTGACTACAAATCCTAAATCTTGTTCCCTTATTTTGATACACTTTCACCATAAAATAAGCACATGATCATTTGGGCTACTATCATTATGTCCCTTAAAAAGAGATAAATGATAAGTAATAAAGTTTTGTTCGATTTAAACCTATTTTAGTAAAATAGAGTATTCAAACAAAAAATACACATGTTTAAAATATATGCCCAATACATAAAAATAAATGGTATAAATAGTAGATAAAAGAAACACGCATATATTCTTTTGCACGTTGAAATATATTTCAAATTCTTTCAATGAAATCATCAGATAATTTATTTACTTCAATTTGACCTTCATACGAGAATTGAGTGACAACAAAACTAAACATCTAGAAGCTTAAATAATAACAGGATTGTTTTTGTTTTAAAGAAAACGTAATTTTTATAGAAGTCGATATGTCCGAGTGGTTAAGGAGACAGACTTGAAATCTGTTGGGCTTCGCCCGCGCAGGTTCGAACCCTGCTGTCGACGCTTCTTTTTATATCTATCTTGACGAAGTTCAATAATTTATGATTGGAGATGCTGTTAATATTTTATCTTCTTCTTGTTACATTATTTTATTTGATATAACACTACTTTTATTACCTACTCTCTATATATACATCTTTATATACTTCATACTTAGTTGGCTATAACCAATAAGAGATTCATGCAATATTGATGATGCACAATATCCGTGTAGGGTATATTTAGATTCTTTAGTTTCTGCCATATACAACTGTCTTCAACTACTTTCTTTGGAATTCTCTGAGTTCTTTGACTTCTGTTATGTTGGAATAGCCTCCTAAAAACTAGCTTGGATTATTTGTAAAACTGGGTGATGATTAGTTTTACATATATTCATGTGCTCATCCTGTTAATTTTACCACGACTTAATCACTAACATTAGGAATAAATAAGTCAAATAGTTGAGCCTAAAAGTGGATTTGAATAATCTATTTTTGTCTAAGAAGGTCACTGCCATATTATGGTGGACTAGTGCATACATATAATGAAATATCAACAATTTTCACAGTTTTACACGTACAATTTTACCTGATAAAAATAGTTATTATCTAGAAAGTAGAATTAAACTAACTCAGATTGAATTTGAGTTTTTATGAGATCTTGTTGAGTAGTGCAGTTTAATTGGGGTCCTTGTTTTATGTTGGTCAAACTAAGAAAATGTATTACCCCCACATGTTAAAAATAATGATAGACATAACTTCAAACACACGCAACTCAAAGACTTTAATTTGATAATATTTACGATCACACTAGCTCAATTAAAAATATTTAACCACAAGACCAACTTAAAAAACAAGTGTAAACTTTTGCAACTAAAACCATATTTTAAGTAAATTATAAAAGACTCGTTGATTTTAGATTCTTGTTTGAAAATTAAAATAAAATATAGAAAAATTGACTGCCAAATGCTACCAACTCTACAACTCATTTCCATGAAGGTCCCTTCATTTTGTCCTACATATGAAGAAGACAAAGCAAGCTTGTTTTTTAAGGTATCATGAATAATATTCTATTAAGCAACTAATCTTTTTTAGACCATGTGATTGTCCCTCCCGAAATAACTGTGGTTTTTATAAATTGAAGGAACCTTTTTGCCCCTAAGTGCATATCCAATTGGGTTTTAAACTAGTAGAGTAATATCTTGTTACCTGTTCCGAATCTAATCCATATTTTTATTCATTTTTTACTTGTTTTTCAATTTTTTTTAGAACAAGCATCACATGTTCTACAAAATTTATATCCTCACATACCAAATCAATCGTATTTTACTAAATAATAAAAATAAATTATTTTTTATTTTTATAATTTTTATTAATTAGTTAGCATTTTTTTATTGGATTAAAACAATAAGAAAACAAATATTGAAATAAGTAATCTTTATTATTATTTTCCTTCCAAGTTACTATTCTAATCCTTCCACTTCCCATCAGAAAATCCATGTCAAACATAAAAACAAAGCAGAGTTGAAAACTACTCTGCAACTTCATTTCACCAACACTATTACCTCTCTGTCTTTGTGCTCTCTCCCCAAACAAAAACACTGTCCTGTTCCATACCCACTTTCCCATCATGCTGAAGTTGCTCAACAAGAACCTCCGTCACTTCTTCTCTCATCTTCGGTGGCCAATTCGCAAAACCAATTCCAAGTGCAAAGTAACCATCAAGAAATTGGGGCACCACAGAACAAAACCTCACAATGACCCAGATGCGAAACACGAACCAAATGCTAATCTTTCTTCTTCGGTCCACCCCAACACTCAATTGGGTGTTTCAAAAGTTAATAAACCAATTCGGATCGCAACCTTCAATGCTGCTCTGCATTACGTGACACTTCCTACGGTAGAGAAAAAAGCTGCAACCTTTAACGACGAAAACGGCGTTGCTATGAAAAACAGAACACCCTTTGACCTTAATTCAAGATCAAAATCATCAAACACTCGCCCAAAAAGCATTTTAAAGCAATCTTCTATGTACCCAAGTAGGCCAAACACTTTAAGAAAGTTCGGGAAATCCGAGGTAAGGGTTTCAATAAATTTACCAGACAACGAGATTTCGTTGCGGAGAAAACGACAATTAAGCTTCTCTGAAAGCGAGAAAGAAGGGTATTGGAGAGGGAAAGAGGACGTAATGATGAGACAGTGTGCGAGTTTTTCAGGTATAAGTGGGAGTGTAGTGAATGAGAGAAGTGGAAGAACAGTGGTTGAGGTTTTGAGAGAATTGGATGCAGATATATTGGGATTGCAAGATGTGAAAGCTGAAGAAGAGAATGAGATGAAGCCATTGTCAGAATTGGCAGAAGCATTGGGAATGAATTATGTTTTTGCTGAAAGTTGGGCACCACAGTACGGTAACGCCGTCTTGTCTAGGTGGCCGATCAAACGTTGGACCACACACAAAGTCGATCACACTGATTTCAGGTTTCTACTTTTCTCTTTTCTGCAAAATATCCCCATGTTTTTTGTTGAAAAATATAATATTATTATGGCAAGTTGGTTAAATGGTGTATCCAAATAGTACAAATATAGAAAAATTCGATTTATGAGAACAGACACTTAATGATGTAGTCATGTATCTTGAAAGGGATGAAGTTACTTAGGATGAAACCCTACATTATAAAAAAAGTTGGTAAGGCAGTAGTATAAGTGGGACTTATTTACTATACTAAGTCATAGTTGGTATTCCTGATGAATTTCGTGGAAACTTCTTCTAGCTTAGGAAAATCAAGGAGATAATCACTTTTCTCTAAGTAAAGCCACTAACTATTCCAAAAAGTTTAAAACTTTTTATAGAAATAACTTTAAGAGCAAGGCACTCATGGGAGTTTCCAAAAAGCAAGATAGTCTAACTTTCAACGGGTCTAAAGTCCAAACAATGCTTAAGCAATGACCCTTAAGTGCAATATTAAATCAATACTACACCCTTCTTTTAGTTATTTCATTGTTTTCTTCTGTGTGCTGATGCCAACAATATGATATATACACGGCATGCCAACTGTAATAGATATAAGCAGTGGGGGCAGGTTTGTTTTCACCTACTCTTTAAGGATTATGTGTTGTCATCACTCATCAATGTTCCTTAAATTAGAGACTGATAATTTATTTTATACAAGAGATTTATGGATTCATAATTTATTACTCACAAAAATATTTCAATGAAGGATCATCAATTTCAGCCACCCCACAGAATATTTTCTTCTTTAGAGACCAATAGTACTCACTGTTATGATGGAAAAATAATAGATAACACATATCATAGTTTTTATTTCTTCCTCTACAAACTCAAATGTATACATAAGACATTTATAGGAATTGTAGGAAAATCCTTATACATTCTATAACTCATTCTCTTGCTAACAACCTTCTATTAAAAACGTTTGTGAAAATATTAGTGGAAATCGAATACATGAAAGCAACCAAGGTAGGAAAATAAAAGAAACCTAGTATTGAAATTATGGGGTAGAGAATGAGTGATCAGAAAGGGTGAATGTGACATCAAACAAATTGTAATTTTTTGGTTGCAGGAATGTTCTAAAGGCTACTATTGATGTACCCCAAGAAGGCGAACTCAACTTTTATTGTACTCAACTTGATCATCTCGATGAGAATTGGCGGATGAAGCAGATAAATGCAATAATCCAATCTAATGAAGAGCCTCACATTTTAGCTGGGGGCCTTAATTCACTTGATGAATCAGATTACTCCCAAGAAAGATGGACAGATATTGTGAAGGTATAATTTTGTACAGCAAAACATCAAATAATCAATTTATTTCACTCCTCTGGCCTTTAGGATAACCAAAATAAATTTCAATTTTTATGAACTGGTTTCATCTGTGTACAGTACCATGAAGAGATAGGAAAGCCAACACCACAGGTTGATGTGATGAAATATCTAAAGAGTAAAAACTACACAGATTCTAAGGACTTCGCAGGGGAATGCGAGTCAGTTGTTATGATTGCCAAAGGCCAAAGTACATAAGCAATCTCCTTAAGCTATTTTCTTCTTTAAAGTGCTCAGCTTTGGAACTTCTTAAGCTTATGTCTTTTTTTGGAAATTCAATTTTGTTCTTATACAATGTTCCTATATTATGCAGGTGTACAAGGGACATGTAAGTATGGAACTCGAGTAGATTACATATTATCATCTTCAAATTCTACATATAAGTTTGTTCCGGGGTCCTATTTAGTCCATTCTTCCAAAGGGACATCAGATCATCACATAGTGAAAGTTGATGTGGTCAAAGCAAATATCAATCCTCAAGAAAATGTGACAAAGACGCCACAACGACATAGACAGAAAGTTGTAAGAATAACACATTCAAGTCCATCAAAAGGTATATGGAAGACACACACTGGAGAAATAGGTTGAGTTCTTTCCAACACACAGTTTAGACTAGCATGATGATTATATTTCGGAAATAGGGGCAGTTGTTTTGTTCATGCTGCATAGATTATGTGTTCTGTATACAACGTTTACTCAAGTAGATTAGAAAAAAAGGTGATATGGATGTATGACACTTTTGTTTGTGGAAAAAAATTGTGTATGTTTTGATTAAGAACTTACATCTGCATGGCCATTTCTTGTTGCTTTTCATTCTTTGACAATATCCATAACATTAATGACTGAGATAATCTTATGAGTTGGAAATAAATGAGTTCATAATATAGTTCTAGGTACCAAGAAGCCAAGAAAAATACACCGCCCTGGTACAAGTGCATAAGTTATGAGATATTTCATAACTTCAATACAAACATTATGTACTACTACAAAATCTGGTATTCATTAGACCTCTAGAATATAGAACTGTGAAATTTAAAAGTAAACTCTGCATCCAGCCACAACCTCATTCAAATACACATCATTCAAAGCTAAAAAAGTGCTAGTTGTGTAGACAATGAAGCGTTCTGTCCATTTATTATGTAGGCCTTACATGTTCTAGCTGAGTGCCAAAAAAATGCATGAATCA